TACTCTTTGTGTTCTATGAAATTTTAAACTTCTGAATTAATCATTACCTATATCTTTCTCTTTCTAAATTTACCTCACTGAATTATACTTGTTGAATAACATCTTCTAACCCTAATCTCTCCGATCACTTCTGATACTTTTACTACCTCTACTACTATGGGATTTGAATCGACAATTATAACTTTGTGCTAACGTGGTATGGCAACTTAAACTGCTGTACTTGCGTGCAAAGTTCTACGTTGATCTTGATGATGATGATGATGACGCACACTTGCGTGAGACTGTATGTTGATTATGCCTGATTGACTGACTGATTGAGTTGTTTTTGTAACCCTCACACACAGACACACAAAATACTGACTTGAGGCAAATTAAACAGACCACTTTAGTGTATACGCGTCACATAGAAAAGCTAAATGATTCTTCAGCTAATGCACATTTACAAAGCTCTGAAATACTCTGGCGGGATCGAAGATGGAAAGAGTTTTCTCTTCTCCTTCAAACTAACAAATGGATCATCCTACCAAATATATACAAAAGATATTTCGGACACTACAGCACGAATAATGAGACCATTCGAAATAGGTGTAGCACACAAACCAACAGAATCGCTTCAATCAATCCTATGTAAACCAAAGGACAAATTGACAAAAGAATAAAAATCAAATATCCTCTACAAAAGAAACTGTTCAGACTGTGAAAAACACTACATAAGGCAACGTGGACATGCTCTTCAACTTCTTCTGCGTGAACATCAACTAGCAGCAATCAAACGCCATGACATTTGTTGCCCATCTATCAATATATGCGAACAACTATGGACACATTCGATTGGGACAATGTTGATATACTGGGTAGAGAGAGGGAGTACAAAGAACACTAGAGAATTTTCAGAAACTTCGCCGTCAAGTCAATCAAAGAACACATCAACCATTCAGAAAAATTATAGGCAAACTTCAGATTGAAAAAGCGAATCAAAGTGGTATACAAACAAAATACAGGTGATTTTGAGACATTAAATTCCTGGGTTTGATTCTTGTTAGGTTCGTAAATCTACACTGCTAAGAGAAACAAAATACTTGACTATCTCTGCCTAATTTTTTAAGCGCTTTTTAACCATACGTTTAATCTATAATATAAAATCATAAAATGACTATCAGCAGAATTGTTCTTGTTTATTGCAATCACCTAGTTAATTCACTTAAAAAGCATTTCATCCTATGAACACTATGAATATATAGCATCAGAAAAAATCAATCTATACTTAAAATATTTTATCTTATACGGAAAAGAAAAAATTCACTGCATGTCAGCTTTGGTCATATTGCCTCGATCATTGAAAATTCAAGTTATTTCGCGTTTTACTAGTTATCCATTGCACAATGGATTTTTGAATGTCAAGGTCACGCATGGTTTGTGTGTTCATGTGCGCATAATGGCTTCATATCTATGCTTCACATTCTCCAGAATTATTATTATTATTACTTAACTCTTAGCTTCGATCGATAAGTGTGCGTTGGAAACACAAGGTCACACACACTGAGTTGAACACGAAAAACCAAAAACGATAATGAAACATTTCAAGTGAATATAAATTCAGAGAGGAGAGAAAAAAATGAAGTGAATCTTTCGAAAAGCAAAAAGTTCTTTCAATAAAAATTTTCGTCCTGTTTTTTTTTACTACACACAACACAAGTTTTGTTTATCAGTTTGTTTATCTGCTCCGAAAAAAAACTTGTCTGTAAAAAAATAGATGAAGTATTGAAACTTTATCAGTTGAGGTGGTTGGGACATGTGTTGTGCAAGCCTAATCTCTGACTGCCTCGTCGAGCGATGCTTCATGGTGTAGGAATCGGTTGGAAGAATACTAGGGGCGGTCAGACCAGAACATGGCGCAAATCCATGAAGCCACTGACAAGTGGACTGATTCATGTTGGTAGATGTGGGCAACTTGGTTGAGGTCCGCGAGATGATAGTAATCAATGATTAGAGACCTTGAATGACATGGCTCAAAATCGTTTGCAATGGTGCAGATGCATTCATTCTTTGTGTTCTCTCGAATCCTAACCTTTAGAGTTCCTCATCGCCTTTATCTTTTTCTTTTTAACGTTCGTTTCACTAGATTCTACTTCTTGAATAATATCGTCGAACCCTAATCTCTCCGATTACTGCTGTAATTCGGTAACAGTATCGATTATCGTTTATTTGTTTGTGTGTGTGGATGCATACCCGCTTATTACATATCTAGCTTATTATTGCTTGACTATAAATACTTAGTCACTCTTCAACTCATGGAGAGTTGTCTCACTCGCCATCTATGTTTATCTGCATAGATGATTGCATGAAATAAATTCATCTGCAACACCGTATTCGGCCTTTGTATTACCACCGTCGTCGTACAAACTGGGTTTGCCTAAGTGGAAAGGAAGATTTATTTCACTGCATACTCAATCATTCGTCCACATTGGAGCCGAGTAGTAAGCCGCTTAACAGCTAATACCACCTCTACTACTATGGGACCTACACTGATTATTACATCTCTGTGCTAAAGTGGTATGGCAACTTGAACTGATATACATACTTATGTATGAAGTTCTACAGAGTAGTAACTACATTTAAACAAAAGCGCTACAAACTCCGGATGTATTGAACAGCTGTTTTGTCTTTCACAACCCTTGTCTTCCAAATACTAAGAAAGAAATTTCAAGCTTTTGTGCATTTTGTCTTTCTGTCAAATAACTAATTCTCTCTCGTATTGTTTACATACAGGACTCTTACTATTTTTTTTCAATTCGTTCAATCGCGTTCTTGTGTTATGCATAATATACAAATGCTTCACTGTTCATTGCCATTATATTCGTGTTTAAAAATAGACCCCATTCGATACAATTTCGCAAAAGTGCAATTGTATCTTTCACCGGTATCCAAAATAACCTGTTTCATTCTACTGCAAAATCATCAGCTAAATTTCAATGTTGATGTTGATACTTGAATTACATAACACCTTAGTGCTTATTCACTTCAAATGCCAATGTGTACTATCTAACAAACTACTCTGAGTTCAGATAGCCACTAACGTATGTATTCAACTCTTATGAAGTTATAGCAACGCTGTTATAAGGAAACGGGTGCTAGGTAAGAATGGAAGATCAATAGATGAAGTAATGAAAATTCATCAGTTGAGGTGGTTAGCAAATATGTTGCGTATGCCTAACCACCGACTGCCTCGACGAGCTTTGTTTTGTAGTGTAGCAATAGGTTGGAAGAGAGTTAGGGCGGCCAGACCAAAAATGGCAGAAATCCATGAAGTCATTGACAAGTGGACTGAGCCATGTCGGTAGTTGTCGACTACCTGGTTGGGGTCCGGGAGATGATAATAACCGTTGGTTAGAAACCCTGAATGACATGGCTCAAAATCGTTTGCAATGGCACCGGTGCATTTTTTCTTGGTGTACTCTCAAACTCTAAGCTTCTGGATTCTTCAACTCCTCTAGTTTTGACTTTCTAAACTTTTCTCACTGAATCATACTTCTTGAATAATATCCTGTAATCCTAACCTCTCCGATTACTTCTAATACCTTTACTACCTCTTCTACTATTGGATTTGAATTGACAGTTATACCTCTGTGCTGATGTGGTATGGCGACATGAACTGATGTGCTTACGTACGAAGTTCTACGTTGCATCTGACTGACTAACTGACTGATTAGTTACACGTTTTCAGTATGATGAGTTATTAGCATTAAAATGTTGAAACAAAAATGCATATCGTAGATTTCATTGCTTCAATTCAACTTCATCAAAACTCATAGTTAAATACAAGTTCAAGATGATTTACTTCGACTGTCTGTTATGAGATGAATTAAAAATATTTAAAGAAACAAACTGAAAATTTAATCTTCTGAATTCCTAATGATCGTTTTTTTCTCTTTTGATTTTTTCAACTGATTCCACTGAGATATAACATCTCAAATAATCTATCTATTCGATCATTAATCCTTTTGTCAACTGCTAATACTTCAATTACTATGTTTTGTGAATTGTGTCTTTGTGTGCTAATCTGTGGTATGGCAACTTGACCTGTTGTTCGTATGTACGTACGAAATTCTACGTTGTAACTGAACTGACATATATATATATATATATATATATATATATATAATCTCATTAAAAAGAAAATTTCTCTAAACAAATATTCTTGTGGTGTGTTAGAATTCTCTCTTTATATTACAACTCAGCTATTCCTAATGCTTAGTAGTAGTATTCTCGGACATCAATTCACTCGAGACATTCTCCCGAAATCAGAACAAGGTTGAACAGAATATAGAGATTATATTTCCAATAGCAAAGTTAGATGGATGACAGAAGGTCTAAAAGAAAAAGACGTTAATATTTTCATAGTTTTCTCTCATGGCTAAGAAAGAGCCAATCAGCGTGTGCACCAATACAATCATGCTTTATTTTCCAATCTCTGTCCCACTAACCTAGTGATTTTGGCCTAAGCCAAAAAAAGTAAATTCTCAAAATTGGTGACAGAAAACAACACAGCTGACAATCAAAGTGTAGTGAACGAGAACACAGGTGAGGGTAACCGAATTGTATTTAACGAAAATTACAGAGTTACTCAGTAAAATTCGGAAAACCATATCGTAAATCATTCATTTGCAAAATATCAGTTCATCATCATATCGAACTGGACTGTTCCTGTTGCAAACAACATCAATCCATTGTCACTCACTATTCATGCGTTTCATACAAATTCCATTGTGTTCCCACTCTTCCTTTCTTGATCTTCCCCCATCTCCTGCTGCCAGACATTACGTTGACTGACACTCACGTCATATACTACTTATAAGTAGCTCACACCACAAAAATACTGATTAAGTTTAACTTTTCTCCTGGTTTTTTTTCTAAACAAAAAAATTAAATTAAATTAAACTGATTATTTTTATTTTTTTTATGATTTTCCGTTTCCTATATTTTTTTCATTTTTTACACAGGATAAAGACAATGTTTATTTATGCATGGAATATATGCCTGGTGGTGATTTATATTATTGGTTAGAAAAATATGATACATTCGATGAGACTATTGCACGTTTTTATCTTGCTGAAACTGTACTTGCATTGGAAGCTTTACATCGACTAGGTTTTATTCATCGTGATTTAAAACCAGATAATATGTTATTAGATGCAGTGGGACATTTGAAATTAGCGGATTTCGGTTCATGTGTACGTGTTGGTGAAGATGGTTATTATTATTGTACATCACCAATTGGTACACCAGATTATATTAGTCCAGAAATGTTAAGTTGTCAAGCAAAACCGGATAGAATTGGACCAGCATGTGATTGGTGGGCATTAGGTGTAATTGCATATGAAATGTTTTTTGGTGAACCAGCTTTTTATGGACAATCATTAGTGGAAACGTATAGTCGTATATTAGGTCATGAGAAATCTTTACGTATACCAACAGATGCTGATCCAATATCAATGGAAACTGAATTATTTATTAAAGATTTATTAAAATCATCTACAAATCGTTTAGGTTCATTTCATTTGCTGACAGAAAGTGAAATTATCGCAGCAAAAAATAATCGAGCTGTTGCTGCTGCTCAACAAGTGAAATCACATGTTTTCTTTCAATCAATTAATTGGGAACAATTGCGATCAATGAATCCACCAATTCAACCGATTGTTAATTCAGAGACAGATACATCTAATATAAATTTTGATGAAAGAGATTTAAGTTCAGGTAGCAACAATAACAATAACAATAGTGGTGGGGGTGCAATGAAATTACCACATAGTGGAGGAGGTGCATTTGCATCGGCACGACCACAACCACCAGCCTATTTCACTGGTAGTAATTTATCGTTTGCCGGTTTCACTTTCAATCGTTATCATCGTTATTTGGAAATGTTCTCATGTGGTATAAACTCAACTAATAATAATAATAATAGTACTGTTCAATCAATGACAGATTCTTGTACATTAGATAAATTAAATGAAGCATTAGAACGTCAAAAATTAACTGAACAAACACTCAGCGAATTAAAACAATCCTATCAAAATTTAGAATGTCAATCAGCAAAAGATCAAATTAATTTAAAAGATATGAAAAGACGTTTACTAGAATCACAAAATGAAATAGAATTAATCAAAACAACTAAAATAGAATTAGATCGTCAATTCACTGAAATCAATACACAATTAACCAGTGTACAATATGAACGTGAACGTTTACAAAATGAATTGAAAGAATTCGAATTACGTTATCAATCATTGACTGTAAATTTAGACAATGAACGTCGTGATAATTCTATGCTGAAAATAGAAAAAGATAATTTAGAACAACGTATTAATCAATTAGAACGTGATTTAAAACAAAAATCCACTGAAATGAATCATCGGACTTCGGAATTAATTTTATCCAAATCAATTGATAAACATGATAGTGTTGATCATGATAATCCTAGTGAAAATTACACCCTGATTATTACACAACAAAATGATTTGATTACAAACTTAAAATTACAAAATGATAATTTACTTATGGAAAATCATGAAGTACAAGATAAATGTACTGCATTGATGAATATTGTCAATGAATTACGTCGTAATTTAGAAGAACAAGTAAAAGAATTAACGGAACAATTACAAACAACCCAAGAATTGAACACATTGAATGTAAATAAATATAAAGAAACCTATGATACATTAGAACAAATGAAATTAACCGAAGATAATCTGCGTCGTGAACTATTGACAACACAAGAATTAATGGAACAATCGAATCAATTGAAATGTTCCATGGAAGAACAATTAAGAAATAAAGAATTAGAATTAGCTATGCAACAAGTTGAATTGCGTAGTTTAGAAACAAATCTTGCCAGTTTACGTAAAACCACCGAGAATGATACATTACATTGGAATAATTTATTAGAAAGAAATAAATTAGAAATAAATAATTTATCGAATCAATTAGATGAAATGCGTAATCGTTGTGCTAGTGTTGAAACAACTAATGGTCTATTAACAGAACGTGTTCAACAATTACAAAAAGATAAAGAAATACAACAACGTAATTTAGACGCGTTAGTTGAGAAATTCTACACAGAAATGAAATCACGACCAATGTTAGTACCGGCCCCGTCATCTTCATCATCATCATCATTGTCTGCATTGTCATCGACATTGTCATCGATTAATTTGAAAAAGAAATTCACTGCCAATCATGATGAATATAAACAATTGGAGAAAAAATATAAAAATTTACAATCGACCAGTGAAAAAGATATTGCTAACTTGCATGCAACTATTGATCAGTATAAAAAAGATCTTGCTGAACGTAATCAACATATTACTAATTTAACGGAAGAATATCAAATCATCTATAAAGAATTAGGTCAACAAAGACAATTGGAAAGGAATTTACGTGCTCGTTTGGATTATTATGTGAATATGCAATCGACACCGATTAAATCGTTACAAACGACTACAAATAATCAGAATATTAATGATACGCTAGATTCTGTCAGTATTAATAATAATAATTTCGATACCATTTATGGTGTGAATTCAAATTTATTAAATATCATACTTGAAGATATTGTTGATATTGATAGTAAAGGACGTGGAAAGAATAAATTAATATGGTTGCCTAAATATGCTGTATTAAAATGTTTCTCTTTATTATTTTATCCATCACGTGCTGAACGTGAATCAAATCCTTCATTGGCTGAAGAAATTCCATTGCATAGTGTAAGTTAATGCTTTCTTGTATTGTTTTGTCTTGTTTTTTTTTTCAAGTTGAGATAGACAGACAGACAGATAGATAGATACAACACAGAACTTCGTACATATGTGCATACATCAGTTCAGGTCTCCCTTACCGGATTAGCACAGAGATACAACTATCAGTTCAAATCCAATAGTAGTAGCCCGATAGTAGAAGTATTAACAGTAATCGAGAAGTTTAGGGTGTAATTCAGTGAAATAGAATGAGAAAGAGAAAGATAGAGATGATGAGCAATTCAGGAGGTTAGAATTAGAGAGAACACAAACAGTGGATGCTCCTGAGGTCCTGCAACGTAGAACTTCGTACGTAGGTACATCAGTTCATGTTGCCATACCACATCAGCACAGAGATATAATTGTCAATTCAAACTCAATAGTAGAAGAGGTAGTAAATGTATTAAAAGTAATCAGAGAGGTTAGGATTACAGGATATTATTCAAGAAGTATGATTCAGTGAGAAAAGTTTAGAAAGTCAAAACTAGAGGTGTTGAAGAATCGAGAAGATTAGGAATTGAGAGAAAACAAAGAATAAATGCACCGGCGCCATTGCAAACGATTTTGAGCCATGTCATTCAAGGTCTCTAATCATCGATTACTATCATCTCGCGAACCTCACCCAGATAGTCGACAGCTACCGACATGACTCATTCCACTTGTCAATGACCTCATGGATTTCTGCCATGTTTTGTTTTGGCCACCCCTAACTTTCTTCCAACCTATTCCTACACTACGAAACAAGGCTCGTCGAGGCAGTCGGTGGTTAGGCATACGCAGCACATGTCCCAACCACCTCAACTGATGAATTTTCATTACTTCATTTATTGACCTGCCATCCTTAACTAGTACTCGTTTTCTAATGGCAGCATTGCTTACTCGGGTGTCCTACGATACATGAGCAATGCTTCTAAGACATCTATGATCGAATACTAATAACTTACGAATACCTTCTAGTCTTACCCGCCATGTTTCGTATCCATATGGGAGAACGCAGCGAACTGGTGCACAGTACACTTGTCCACTGGTTACCAAACGGATATCTCGCCTACGCCATAAGTGACGCAGGTTGGCAAAAGCCAATCGAGCCTTCTGTATCCTTGCTGAGATTGGGTTAAGACATGAAATTGCACATACTGCAACTTATCTATTTCGATAATGTATGTAGCTTTGACTAGTGGTCAGTCAGTCAAGTCAACAACAACAACAACAACATCATAGAGCTTCGTACATACGTACATCAGTTCAAGTTGCCATATCACAACATTAGCACAAAGATGCAATTGTTACTTCAAATCCTTATAACTGTAGAGGTAATGGTAAGTATTAGCAGTAATCAGAAATTTTTGTGTTCAGTCATAAATACTTATTCATTGAATTAGTGATATTCAAAATGGTAACTTGATCAGTTGAAGTTAACAAACTGATCATGAATAAAGTGAATTGTTTCATTTTTTGTCTTGTTTCTCTAATGAAACACATTTGCTTTTCTAAAAACTGTCAGTATGATACATTGTTAATCTAGAGTTTTTTTAATATAGAAAATTACCTGTCACCAGATAAACTTTGTTCCTATTATCATCTTCAATTTGCTCCAGTCGGTTTACTTGCTTCCTCACTTCAATCAAGCACGTGACTGTGGAAAGACTGTGGAAACGCCATTAATTCACTTACATTTCCTGGTGATGATAGGCTCACCAATTCTGTGGCGGTGGGAATATTCGATATAGATTCCTAAACGTCGTATAGTTCTCGTTGACAAGTGGACTGAGTCATGTTGGTAGATGCATACTACCTGGTTGGAGTCCGCGAAACAATAGCAACCGGTAGTTAGAGACTTTAAATGACATGGCTCGAAATCGTTTGTAATGGCGCAGGTGCATCCACTCTTTGTGTTCTGTCGAATTATAATCTTCTGAATTCGTCATCATCTCTACCTTTCTCCTTATAAATTTATCTCACTGAATTATACTTCTTGAATAATATCTTCCATCTCTAATACTCTTCATTATCGCCAGTACTTCTATCATCTCTACCACTATGGGATTAGAACTGACAACTGCTTCTCTATTAAAGTGGTATGGCAACCTGAACTGATGTTGGCAAATACAAAGTTTTGCGTTGTAACTGACTGACTGACTGACTGACTAATGTTTCTGGTCTTGATAACCGTTCCTGGATAACGCCTAGCAGTGTATAATTCAGAAGACAAATACGAAGTGTTTCATAACGCTTATTATCGCACTACGCACAGATCACAAAACCGTAGGCATACGAAGCGAAAACGAAATGATATGTAAGTGCCGAGAAGCAAGCGAGCGAGTGTGTAAGTAAATAAGATTCAAGTATATATATATATATATATATATATATATATATATATATATATATATATATATATATATTTTATACTTAGGAACATGAATCTCATCGAATTATTCAAGTGACTAACATTAAACCTAGTAAGAATGAATATATATGCGTAGGTGGTAAGCAATGCTCAAGCATACATGTTCATACAAGCTCAACAATAATAAAAGTACAATGGTATCGATAAATTGCTAGTGTACAAATGGAGGGTTTAACCAAATTAAATGCAAACATACTCAAACGTAGTTGAGTTGCCACGGTTGAACAGGAAA